TATATATATATATATATAAACTAGGGTTTAGGGTTTAGGTAAGTAAATAATATAAATAAATTAGGGTTTATAATTCATCATGATAAGGTGTACGTACAGCTGACGATGGATCTTTGTTTATCTTTTGCTGCAGTTGTAAACCCCCCAATACTTTATCTATAAATTCCTCTACTGATGCTTTTGTTAATGGAGGGCTTAGTCTCTGTATACAGCAGCAGCAGCAGCAGCAGCAACAGCAGCAGCAGCAAGTACAGTAAGAGCAGCAGCACCAGCACCAGCAGTAGTAGTAGTAGTAGTAGTAGCAGTAGCAACAGCAGCAGCAGCAGCAGCACACAATAACACAATGCAACAGCTATACGTACACCCCAATAATATCCACAAATAAGAACATGCATGCATGCATGCATGCATGCATGCATGCGCAGCAGCAGCAGGAGCAGCAGCAGATGTATATAGGTGTAGATACACCTGAATCTATACATACCTCATAACGTTTTCTTTTAGGTCTATAAGCAATTAATAATTCTTCTTTGCTGCCGCTAACAAATCCAAAGGCAGAGGCGAAATCAGGCTGCGTATACACCCCAAAACCCTAAACCCTAAACCCTAAACCCTAAACCCTAGAAAAAAAAAAAAAACCCTCATTTATTATCCCTTATCAAGTACCTCATATGCTATGTAGATAAATACACAATGCATGAAGGAATTAGGATCTATCTGTTCTACAATTTTCTAGGGTTTAGGGTTTAGGGTTTAGGGTTTAGGGTTTAGGGTTTATATATAATACGTACATTTTTATCTGCAGTAATATATACAAGCTTAACAGGATCTGTTTTATATTTATTCGCTAATTCCTTCATACCCGTATACACCTCACGTGCAGACCCTAATGCTGCTGTCTTTGTAGGAAGAATTAATATTATACAGAACTGAGCAGACACCCCAAACCCTAAACCCTAAACCCTAAACCCTAAACCCTAAATTCTGAAAAAATCAGATTTGCATTAAATTTCTGTATAAAAAAAAAGAGACAGGTAATAAAAAAAGAGACAGTAAGAAGGAGGGGACAATTAATTAACTATATATATATAAATAAATATAAATATAAATATAAATAAATAATAAATAACTTACTTGTGCATCTTGAGGTGTACATTCACCTCTTTTTATTCTTCTTTCTGTTAATAAATGCAAAGGGTTTGTTTGAGGTATACGTGCCTATAAATAAATAAATAAATAAATAAATAAATAAATAAATAAATAAATAAATAAATATAAACATATAAACATGCATACATACATATACATATATACATATATGCATATATGTACGTATATACGTATATACATATATACGTATATATATACATATATATGTATATTTATACGTATATATACATATATACATATATATATATAAT